ACCTCTTCCCAGAATTAATCAGTATCGTATAAGTAAAAAAGCCCTTCAAGGCATAAAGACCATATTACACAATTACAAGGCTCATGGCCTCATTGTCCTTTATACTAGTCCCTGTAATGCTCCTATTTTAGGGTGAGAAAACCTAAGGGCTGAGAGTGGAGGTCTGTCTAGGACCTTTGAGCAATAAACAACATTGTTATCCTTTAACACTATTGTTCCTAACCCTCATACGTTACTAACATCCATTTCCACTGGAAACAATTTTTTTTTTACTATAATTGATTTATGCAGTGAATTCTTTAGTGTTCTAGGTGATGAAGCTAGCTAACACCTTTTTGCTTTGCTTAGGAAGAAAAAAAGCTGGACAGTAATGACTCAGAGTTTTAATGATGGATGATTTGCTTCTTCGTTGTCCTCCTCAAGCCTTTTCACAGGAAGACAGCATGCACTTGCTAACGCTTCTAACTTTAAAGAGACATACGGTTGCCAAGGAAAAATTACCATTTGCCCAAACCCAGGTTTAATGCTTAGGGCATCTGACATCAAAACAAGGGCTACATCCAGATCCACATGGGCTTCATAGTTTCCTAAGTTTCCCCAAACCCAAAACTAAATGCCAACTGCAAGGTTTTCTTAGGGTAGTTAGTTATTGCCAAAATCAGATCCCAAATTTTTCTCTCATGACCGAAACTCTGTATGCTTTACTAAAGAACAACCCCTATGCAGTTTTACGGGAGAAATTGGATGACACAGCCTTCAAGGCCTTAAAAGAGAGTTTGATGAACCCACCTGCCCTTAGGCACCCCCATGATCAGATTCCTTTTTCCCTTTTCATATGTGAAAGAGAAAGGAATGCCCTTGGGGCACTCACCCCAAAACGCAGGGACCACCCTACCACCATAGGGTCTTACAGCCCGCAACTGGACTCTATGGCTCAGGGGTACACCCCCCTCCCCTTACCTTAGAACCATTACAATCACTGCCCTTTTGGTTGAGGGCACGGTGAAAATCACTGTGGGCTCCCCTTTGGCCATTTTTGTACCTTATGCAGTAGAAGCTCACCTGAACTCTCATCACAGTCAGCACCCCTCAGCCAACTGCCTCACCTCCTAAGAAGTCCTTGTGTTAACTGTTCCTCACATCACGTGTTTACACTGTTGTAACCTTAATCCCACTACTCTTCTCGCCTGCATCACTGATGCAGTTCCCCACGACTGCTTAACACTGATGGGTGTTGATCTGTGGGAAATTCTTTGGGTAAAACTGACTATTCATGATTCACTGATGGTGCTTATTTAAAAGGTGACAATGGCAAAAACTGTGCTGGATATGCTATTGTAACTTCTTCTGATATGGATGAAGTGGTATCTTTATCTATGGCTACTTGGCCCTAACAAGCTGAATTCTATGCTTTTATGCAGGCTTGTACTTTAGCCAAGTACAAAACTGCCCCAATTTATACTAACAGTAGATACATTTTCAGAGTATCTCATGATTTTGTAATGTTGTAGAAGCAACATGGTTTCTTTTTCTCTATTACGTGGCTTATCTTTGGTGAATTCATAAATTCAAGCAGTCAGCTCGAATACAAGCTGTCACTTTAAGACGTCTTCTCAAGAATTCTTTGAAACCCAGTGGAGGAAGCAGGTAATAGACTCAATGTCCTTCCTCTGAATTCAGACTCCACATAAGGCTGGCTTGCCCCAGATCAGCCTCAGCAAGTTCCAGATGCCACAAAATCTTAATTGACTGCCCGTGACGTGCCAGGGATTTGTCTTAGATTTAGATTTGTTTTAGAGTTCTCCCACAGTTTCTCCTATAAGCATCACAGTCACACCTCCTAACAACTTGTGAGGTGGGTGTCACACTTTTTTTTTTGCCAGAATGAGCAACTGAAATGCCCAAGACCACAGAGTTAGAGATGATAGAAACAGGAGCTGTGAATCAATGTTTCCTGATTCTAAGACCAGAGCTCCTGCCACCACACTCCAGCTCAGCCTGCCTAGAAAGTCCCACCTTCATCTTGTTCCACCCAGGACCCACATGTCCTCCAGCCTGTGCCGACCCAAGTCAGAGAAGATCCTCTCGGAACAAGTGAGGTCCACTCTGAGATGGCAAAATGCCACTCATGGGACCCAGGTGAAGCCTCCAAACAGTTGTCAGTGGAGGGGAGGAGGGGGTGGGTGGGCAGCATGCACACCTAAGAATCTGGCACCTGAAGGAGTGATTTTTCAACAGAGAAACCCTAGCGAATAGCAGTGTTACAAGCCACTCAGCCACAATGGAAGCCCTTTTTAAGGACTGTGTTCTAATTAGCAAGTGTCTTTAAGCAGATCCTCTGCACTGTGGTCTAATCTGTGTTCGAGATTCCTCTCCCCACTTAAAATAAACCTGCAAGCTAATGTAGTTATACAAGGCAGCCAAATTGCACAAAACCATCAATTCTTCCCCCAGAACAGACTAAGAGCCTGAAGCCAATGGGAAGATAAAATTGCTCCCCAGTTTATGAGCAACTTCTTTCCTTCCAGATTTTTCACTGTATCTGGAGTCTAAACTCAAAGCAATAATCATCTAAGAAAATGCCTCCAGGGTAATTGGTATCAGTCCTGGGGCATCCGAGTTCTCCTGTAAAAGAAGCTGTTTTTCATGTTTGTACATTTTTTACTCTGTGATTAATGGAGGTGGAGAAGGAGGCAACAGAGGGTGGAAAGAGAAAAGAAAAAAGTTCTTTGACTCTGCATACTCAAAAATGTGGAGGAAGAGGAGATGGAAGAGAGATTTTGCCTCTCAGCTTCTCATGTGGCTCCCACTGGCCAAACAAAATCACGGTATTTCCACTCCCTTGCTTTAAATAGTTTGGGAGTTAATGACAAACCAGTCACACGTTGGCAAGTTTAAAACTAAACATAATTTGCCTTCTCCCCTAGCAGGAATAAACACAAAGATCAACAGAATGCAAGAAAAATCCAGCTGTATTTTCAGGGCCAAGTAGAGCACAGCGTATTGGAGCTGTGGAGACTTCCCAGATCATGCCGTCTGACCGCTCATTATCCAAATGAGGTGGGAGCCTAGAGAGCCGAACCCATGGTCCAAGGTCATTGGCAAGTTGTCTTTAAAACCCAGGATCTAAATTCAGGCCTCCTGACTCAGAGCCCATGGCTCCTCCTTTGGGACTTAAGAAATCTTCTGAGTGCTGTTTTGTTCCAGCTCTGAAAGGGGGCATTAGAAAGGGGCCCCACCCATATAATGGCCCCCTAAATGGGAGGACTAGATGGATAGTTGTAATTAGGTCCTTCCCACGCTCTGTGTCAGGCAATAGGCCTGGCTACGGGGAGCCACTGGAGATGGTCAGTCATTGAGGTGAGGCTAGACTGTGGGTCAGCCATCTGTCAGAAGGGGTTTTGGATAATTAAATCTGCTCACGAGAAGCAGTGGAGGTGGATGAGAAAGGCCCAGTAAAGGGGCTTCTTCCTGCTGCTGCGTGTGTGACCCTCTCCCATCCCTTCCCCAGGTTGGCTAAGCCCCTCCTCAGCCACGGAAGTAATCAAGCTGGTCCCATCCCTCCAGGACCGACTTCCTCTGTGACCTTGTAGATACTCACCCTCCCCAGGGTGAAGAACTGCCCTGAGTCCAGTCCTGTGGCCCTGGCTGTGCTGACCGAGCCCACACTGAGCAGGGGCAGCCGACTCGCAGCTAGCCCATCACCATGGCTAAGCACATACGCTTTGGAGTTGAGACTCGCTGGCTCCAAATTCTGCTCTCCCACTTTCCAGGAACCTCCGATCTCTGTGCTGCAGTCTGTCTACTTATGAAATGACTTATAGATTTGTTTCGAGCTGTAAATGAGATAATCCATATAAATCACTCAGCATGGTGCTTGCTCAGGGTAAGGACTTGATCAATGGCAGCTATTTTTATTACTCAGGGGTCCTCTCTGTTGCCTGGCTCCTCTCCCCATCAGTCTTTTTCTCCTGATCTCCCCGTCAATGTCCTATGTGCTGCTTGAGTGACCCTCAGAGTTTTATGCTTGACCACTCCCTCCCCCACTCGGCCACATGCTGGCTGGAGCTGTTCACGGAGCCTTCTCTCTGCAGTAACCACAGCAGCAGCCTGCAGGCTGGGCTTCCATCTCCCCAGGCCGGCTCCCTCAGGGTCTGTCTTCACCCCTTCTCCTCCCCTAGTCACCCAGCGGTCCTGCCTCCATCCAGGCGGCCATGACCTCAGAGTCCATAGCTTCTGGGATGGGCTCTGACCAAGTCCTAGGCAGAGACAGTCACATCCCACAGTGAAGAAACAGACTCAGGCCATTTCCATGTCATCAGCCAAGGCAGAACCCAGTCAGGTAAGAACAGCACTGCTCCCCAGAAGACTTTAGTAAACTCTTTCCCAGCAACGAACCCCATTTTAAATTCAGAGAAAAGACCCTTGGCACTTATATCTAATCGGGGCAGTGGAGAGCGATGTAATGTCACTTCTCTTTGTCTAAATTTCTCAGAGCCCTCTCCCCCATTCATGTGCTCTAAATCAATACTTCTCAAACTGTCCGTGGTGAGGGTCCTGTCGTTTACTTCCCCCAGACTGTCGGGTACCAATCCTTTTGTAAAACAGCAAAAGTAAATGACTACTTAACTAAAATAGGACTTGGACGTCACAGCACTGTTAAATTGCTACAACGTTGCTTAAACACGTTCCATTTCTGAACTAATTTTTTGGCAGGCTGGTAAACATTTCACAGCGCCACACTCGTTCCTGGACCAAACTGAGAAGGGCTGCTTCTGGAAGGAACAGAACCTCAGAGGAGTCCGTCTGCCACGGACACCCCTCATCCTGGGTTTGTGTCCCATAGCATCTGCCCTGCCCCCACCCAGAGCGTGCCGTGGTACGGTTCCTGGTAGGACTCTGCAGTCTTCAGTGAGTGCTGTTCCCCAAAGGTCAAGCATCCCCCAGGGGGAGGGTTCTGCTGGGATACTCCCAGCCGAGTGCAGCCGGCCGGCTCTTACCATTCCATTCCAGCCCTGTTGATCTCCTCCCACCAGCACTCCGTAGGCTCCCCGAGGCTCTGGGGCGTGGGCATGCAGGCGTAGTTCCACTGTCTGTCAGAACCTTCCTTCTTGTTGAAGGTGCTCCTCACAGCCACCACCACCTGCCCGTGGGGACACTGGTAGCTGAAGCCCTGCCGGTGCAGATTCACCCACCCATCATCGCTGTAGTCATGGTACTGCTGGTATGAGTACCCATAGTCGCCGTACTGGCCCCAGGCCACGGTGACCAGGGGCAGAAGCACCCACAGAAGAGTGAGGTCCATGCTGCCTGGGCTTCTGGCAAAAAATGTCACCCTAGGTCTGCTGGGCTGCCCGTTTTATGCAGCTGCTGCTGACATGTGGCTTCCAGATGTGGGTGAGCAGGCTCCAACTGCAGTGTGTCATCGTTTAAGCAAAACTTTTCGGCGCGGAGCTATTGGCCATAAGTACATTCGGCTTGTTTTAAGGTGGAATTCTAGGAAAATGTAAGGAACATGCAAATGGAAGAAACTCCCCAGAGAAGGAACAAGCTAGCAGACAGATTACAAAGGCAAACAGCTTCACTCTTCTTAGAAACATTCCCTTGAAAAAAAGAGCGTATTTTTCCCTCATCTCTGAGCACCTCACCTCTCTCTGCCCTGCCCCACCCACCGCTAGCAAACCCCTGTATCTGTTCTCCAAACTAGCCTTCCAGGACCACACAGATATGCAGAGAGTGATTTCAAAACATCAAAATAAGAGGATGAAGGGACAGCATCATTTAGATTTCTGCAAGGCTGGGACGCCTGGTTTCTTTCAAGTTCTCAGCCCAACATCTTTTAACCCTGAGTGTAAGCAGGGAATACCAGTCTGCAGGCTACTCTGAGAATTTTTAAGTCACATACGAAGCACAGTGGGCCCCTGGAGAGATAAGTGGGGCATCTCTACACTTACACATCCTTCCGAGCTGCTGAAAGTAGACCAAGTACAACTAGGAACTGTCCTAGGCTCTCAAATGTGTAATAGGTTTAACCTGAAAAAAGCTTCTTTACACCCTTTGGTGTTTTTTTTCCCTTCCATGTTGAGTTTTCTTTTTTTTTTTATTGAAGTATAGTCAGTTTACCATGTGTCAATTTCTGGTGTACAGCATATTGTTTTAGTCATATCTGTACATACATATATTCCTTTTTGTATTCTTTTTCACTACAGGTTACTGTAAGATATTGAATACAGTTCCTTAAGCTATACAGTATAAACTTGTTTATCTATCCTACATATAGTAGTTATCATCTGCAAATCTCGAACTCCTAATTTATCCCTTCCTACCTCCCTTCCCCACTGATAACCATAAGTTTGTTTCTATGCCTGTGAGTCTGTTTCTGTTTTGTAAATAAGTTCATTTGTGTCTTTTTTTTTCCAGATTCCACCTATAAGTGATATCATATGGTATTTTTCTTTCTCTTTCTGGCTTACTTCACTTTTTAATGAGGTTTAATTTATACGTAATAAAACTCACCTTTTCTAATGTTCGGCATACAGTCATTTAGCCAGCACCATAACCGAGGCATAGAACAGATCCATTAACCCCCAAGTCACACCCTCCCCATTATTCAGCCCCTGGTAACTCCTGATCTACTTTCTGTCGGTACAGTTTTGCCTTTTCCAGGATGTCAAATGGATGGGATCATAAAATACGCAATCTTCTGTGTCCGCCCCCTTTCAATAGCAATAATGCTTGCGACACTCATCCATGTCTCTGTGTGTCAGTGGTTCGCTCCTTCGCGCTGCTGAGCGGGATTCTATGCTATGGCTGTACCACAGACTGCTTATATGTTTACCACCTGAAAGATGTGGGGTGTTTTCCAGACGTGGGTAATTATAAATAAAATTGCTATAAACATCCATGTACAGGTTTTTGTGTGAGCAAATTTTTTTTTCCCCATTAGGGCAGATACCTAAGAATAAGAGTGCTGAACATGAGGTAAGTGTGCATTTAGCTGTGTAAGAAACGATCTGATTTCTAAAGCGCTGAACCACTGTGCACCCCTCCCAGAAAATTGCCATTTCTTTTATTTCAGCCATTTTAATAGGTTAATAGGTTTCCAGGGGTAGTTCAATGAGGTTTCTATTTGCATTCCCCTCATGACTAATAATTTTAAGCATCTTCTCATGTGTTTATTGGCCATCCGTCTGTTTCTTTGGTGATTCAGCTGTTCAGATCTCTTGAGCCTTGTGGGCATCGTCTCCTAAGTGGGTGGTAGTTCTCATTTTTCATCAGGGCTGTTCTTAAGGACGTTTCTTAAAATTGTGGTTGTTGACCAATAATCTCTTTAGCCCCTGTGGAAACTGTTAACGTGCAGATTCCTGGGTTCCACTCCAGATCTAGTAAATCATAACCTTACCGGTGGTGCCCACGTATCTATATTAAAAAAAATGGTCCACCAGGTGATTCTTACTCACATCAAAGCTGAAGAACCATTTTCCTAAAAGAATGTGAGCCAGGGGGGGAAAAAATCACTATAAATCCTACCCCTTGCCCAATGGATAAAATACTTACCAGATGGCATTTAGGCTAGATTAAGGTGAACTTGATGGAGAAAGTCACACATGGGAGGAAAGCAAACGTGTATGTGTGTGTGTGTGTGTGTGTGTGTGTGTGTGTGTGTGTGTGG